TTGAGTTATTGTAATTCTTCAACAAACTAAATGGAAATGAAATAATATATATATTAAATTTATAAATGTGTATGTATATATATGTGTGTGTGGCTGTACATACACGTAGTTGTTTTTTTGGTGTTTGGCTTAGTGTTATGTTAAAGGGGTCATATGATGTTGCAAAAAAGAACAGTATTTTGTGTATTTGGTGTAATGAAATGTGTTTATGCGGTTTAAGGTTAAAAAAACACTATTTTCCACATACTGTACATTATTGTTTCTCCTCTATGCCCCGCCTTTCTGAAACGCGTAGTATTTATAGAGTTTTAGCTTTTAGTTTTAATTACTTTGTCTTATTTGTAAGTCGCTTTGGATAAAAGCGTCTGCTAAATGACTAAAAGTAAAAGTAAATTAAAAAAACAGATATTTCTTCCTTTTCCCTAGAGACACATTTAGCATACAATTGAGTTGAAAAGCATAGCGGGGACATTATTTTTCAAAGAATTTCTCCATAAAATGTAACAAAATTTCATTCTTTTTGTCATAAGCAAGTAATCGTAATCGTTGACCAATCACAGAAGACGTAAGCCCTGACGTCCTGTATCCTAGGAGATTTTTCCCCGTGGCCTCTTATGCTCTGCGCGCGCTCCTGCGCAAATCTGTGCCGGTTGCCTGGTCAACCAAATGCGCGTGCCCTGCAAGCTGATGTCGGGGGCGCGCAGTTGGGGGACTTAGTGGAGCAGCTCGGACAAAAATGAATTAGACACGAAGCTGGAACAAATTATGACTGTGGATTTGGTTTATTCTGTGTAAATATAGATGATAATGTATTGTTTTGTCCAAGCATATGACTTTGGAGGGCTGTTTATACAAGCTCAGCAGCACTGAGGATGAAGAATATGATGAAGAAGACCTGCTGTCACTTCTCATATGAACGCTGAAGTATATTTGAAGAGGAATTACACTTTTTAACGCTGTTTTGGCGTTTTAAGTTTATTAGACTGATATTAAATGCAGTTTGAGGCAGTAGGGATTCTGGGTGCCTTTTTTGCACAGTTTATACTATATTATATTTATTATACTTCTTCGGATTTTTGCATTTTAACACCTTTAATTATACCTGTACAAGAAAATAGATTTTTCTCGTTTACAATTTTTTGTTTGAGTAGAAGGACTGGGATTTTATCTGTTGTAAATTGTGGGTTGGATTCATTGGAGCTGAAGAGTTGGAGTGTCCAGACGCCTTAAACATGTATGCAGGACGAAAAAGAAGAAAACCAGTGCAAAGGACGTAAGTTATAAGAATAAATGTGTGTTTGTGTGTGTAATGGATGTGTAGATCGACTGTTATTGATTCAGAATTGATCATTTGTGTTTTTGTTGGTGTTTCTGACTCGAAACTCATTACAGTAATGTTCGTCTGACCCGAATCGCATGTGTAAACTGCTCTTTTAGGCACTGCGGTCAAGCCAGCCGCGCTTTGAAAATGCACGGTCAAGCCTTGTAAATAATTTATTAATGTTGATAAATGTTATTGCAAATATTGTTAATGTTTTATATTCAATGTTTTTTTTATTTAATGTTTGTGTAAAAAAAAAAAAATAAAATTAATAAATATATATATATATATGTGTGTGTGTGTGTGTGTGTGTGTGTGTGTGTGTGTATATAACAACAAAATGCGTCCTAGCACTTCCACTGTGTCCAATATTCCAACACTCATAAAAAGTGTTCCTTTAAAGGTTAGTTCATTCTTTCAATTCATATGTATTCAGAGTGACCCTGACTATCACTGTCTTCATTTTCAAGGCATTTTACTATATAGTTTTGGAGAAAATTGACCGTGCATTTTCAAAGCGCGGCTGGCTTGACCGCAGTCTTTTAGGCCCATCTGTCTGAAGTAAATATTTATATTTACTGTTATTATTCTATTCAAGATAATCAAAGCATCACTAGTATTAGTAGAACCCAGTGCTGCAATATTTGCTATTTAATGTATGTGCATCGTGATATTATATTGAAGTTTTCATAAGGTGATTTATTTGTCCTTTTCGTTTCCGTTTTTGATCAAATTAAACCATTCAAACAGAGGACAAATACATGAAATTATATTATATTATATTATATTATATTAAAACCCCTAAAATTCAGTTGTGAACACCAATCCTGCGAATCAGATAAAAGTCTTGGGAAATATTTTATTTTAAATAATGTAAATAGCATGTTATATATATTTTTATAGAATTTTATTATATTGATTATATTATTGTATAATTATAAAGCTAATATATTTTATTTTGCATAATATTTTATTTAAAATATTATTTTTATTTGCCATTATATGTTGCGTAAAATTATAAGTCGCTTTTTTATTGCTCTCAAAATAAACAGATACTATATTATTTTAATAAAATATATTTTGTAACTATAAACCTAATATAATATACATAAATATAAAGCTAGTTTTGCATAATAGTTTATATAAATTAATATATTTCATTTTGACAGTGAATCCAGTAAACTGATATTTTGCGTACAAAATGTTTGCGTACAGTTTTATTAGAACACAATGTTTTTTTTAATGTAAGCTTTCTAGATTTAGCGTAGAATTTATATTGCTAATAATTAAATGTATATGTTAAATAATTTCTGCCACCTATTATTTGTTTTAAGTGTGGACCAAATAGGTATCATAATCCTATATCTTTACATAAACCATTCAGAGCTTATTTTATACTCTTAGATAACAGAATTACTAATAATAATTATTTATGTTTTGTATTTTTAAAATATTTTTCATTATATTTTATTATCTACAATATTTCAATCAGCTACTTTTTTCTAAAATCGCTTTAGTGTCCTTAGTGAATTTGTTTTACAGTTTTTCCTTTTTTGTATTTATCTTTGAATTACACTGATATCTTTTATATATAATACAATTTTGCATTCATATTTACAGTAACAGATGAATTGTTCCGTAACAGCTCGGTGTGTATGGATCTGTGATGTGTGTGCGTATCAGGGCTCAGATTTTACGTTAGGGTGGTGACCCAAATTTGTATGTTGTACAAAGGTTCACACAAATTTCCTTAAAATCAAACACTGACACAACAATATGCAAAATTATTAACATGACAGGCCGAAAAAGCAAAGTTGACAATTGAGTAAATTTAGTAAAAACAACAGCCTGTCCGAATCAATGCGAAACTTGTGAATGTGGCTTCTGTATTTTCATGCTGTCCGTGATTCTGTCCAAACAGACCTTGCATTTGAAAAACGCTTGAATGTTATCTTAAGATGTGTTTTTACGAAATGTGCTCAGGGTGAAGCAGCCCCCAGCTGAAGGGGTGAAGTCTAACCCGTCCAAGCGTCATCGAGATCGGTTGAACTCTGAGCTGGACCGGTTGGCCAGTCTCCTTCCGTTTCCAGAGGAGGTCACGAGCAGCCTGGACAAACTCTCCATCCTGCGGCTGAGTGTCAGTTATCTACGTGCTAAGAACTTCTTCTCTGGTGAGTTCACGTGCCGCTCCATGACTTTGTTGGATGCGATTTGTCTTTGTCCAAGTGGCTGGATGTGTGTGTAGCTGTGTAGACCGACAGTACTGTTGTAGCACCGTGCCGTAATGCGAGGTCACTCAGGCAGAACGGTCTGTTATTTAGATATATTTTAGATGCAAATTTCATATTATGCTGTAGACAACTGAAAGTGCAAACAACTTAAAATGCCTTAATTTATAGACTGCAAAGATAGATAGATAGATAGATAGATAGAGTCAGATTATAGATAGACAGACAGACAGACAGACAGACAGATAGATAGATAGATAGAGTCAGACTACAGACAGACAGACAGACAGACAGACAGACAGATAGATAGATAGATAGAGTCAGACTACAGACAGACAGACAGACAGACAGACAGACAGATAGATAGATAGATAGAGTCAGACTACAGACAGACAGACAGACAGACAGACAGACAGATAGATAGATAGATAGATAGATAGATAGATAGATAGATAGATGAACAAATGAACAAATAAACAAATTGATATTTGGATAAATGAACAGATAGAAAAACTAATTGATAGATAAACAGAGAAAGTTAAATAAAGAATGGACAGATAGATAGATAAATTACACTGATATATAGATAAATGAGCAGATCGATAAAACAAGATAAATAGATAGACAGACAGACAGACAGACAGACAGGTAGATAGATAGATAG